CTAAGCAGAGTTTCTGCTGGGGTATCGTGGCCAGCTGTTGTTGCAAGGTTCCCGTGAGGAGAGAGAGTCTGGAGTGGGTCCAGGACTATGACTACCTCATCAACCAACTCTGCCACATCTACAAGGCCTACTGCACCGGTCAGGGGATGCGGGGTGAGGAGGACAGGAGACTCAAGGAAGAACTCCCGAAAGAAGTCCAACATGATGACGATATCAAAACGTAAGCCTTTTCCATGTGTACTTGAGTCTCTACATAACTGATTATTTTTCACATATTGTGTAGGTACTTTGAGTGGGTACGGCAGGTGCAGACAGTGGTGTTGGCCTGGCAGGAAAGGATTAAAGGGAAAGAACTCAACTACGACGAGATAATGGTCTATGCCAACTTTCAGGGAGGAATCCAGAGAATTGGCGACGCCATAAGTGCCTCCTCCAGCATCCTGGAGCCTCAGATACTTCAGCAGCAGAAGAACGCCTTCCTTCAGTACTTCGAGCACCTCCACATCATGCTGTTAAGATATATACCTGGCAAACAAGAGGTCGGGTGGTGCACTCTCTCCTCGCTTCTCGCGGAGAATGGCGTGTCCTTTCCACCTGAGGTGGCTGAAGCCATCACCAAGTACGTGGTGATTCCCGGAGAGCCAAAAGAAGTGGAGGGAGGATTGCTCGAGTATGAAATGCGATCGGATACAATGGGGACGGTTTATACCGGGCCAACCCGTGTCTCTCAAGCTGTCCAAAAGACTGGGACTAAAGCAGTTAACGAAGCTTGTTTTTGACCTTCAGGGCTTTCTGGAGCCAATCCTCAATCAAATGGAAATGCTAGTCTTCTTCAAGCTACACAATAGTGTCATGTTCGAGGAATACCAGAAGCTTTTCCTGGACAAGGAGGTGAAGGAGCTAGAGAGAAAGCTTCGTCCTCCCATGCCTTCCATCACATCCACATTTGGCAACTTTCCATCCGTGAGCCTCCGGCATCCAGAGGAAGAAGAAGAACCAAAGGTAAAGATGAGTCTCCCCATTCTGGTGAAGTCTCTGGACCGGACCAATGAGCTCCTCATCAAGCTAATCGAGGGGAACGCAACCTACAACGAGATAATAGCCGAAGGTAGGCTAGACCTTGAGAACCTTGACATCGATCGAGAGTTTGAGATTCTTGCCGACTTCATACTCTACCTGAAGCACAAGCTCAAGACGGAAGTTGGACTAGAAGGGGTACGGTGTATGCTGGAGCTTTTCCAGTACCAGAGACACATCATAAAGGTACGTGACGTCTGTGAGCAGTACAAGCTGAAGGGCTGCCTGGGAGACAAGAATCTGCGGGAACTGGTGGAGCTAGCTGAGGATTTGGGCCCAAGAGAAAAGCAGGCGAGAGCTTACGCTCAACGAAGCCACCAGGAGAATGAATCAAGTGAAACAACTTCTCTTTGACGGTGAATGATGGAATGGGAAGAAAGGGACGGGAATGGAAAGCACTGACGAAGAGTTTTGATGCAGTGGTCAAGTGTATAATGTGTGTGTTTCTTAGAGTTAGCTTTTTTCGTTTCAGTAGTAGGTTGTATTGGCACGACAATGCAGAGTTCTACAGTTAACAAGGACAAGCGATGCAGTGGAGCCCCTGGCCAGGCAGTGTAAGTTGTCACTCAGAAAAATACCACGATTATCACAGCGCAGCTCCAGCCATGAAGAATAAAGGAGCAAGTTCTGAACCACCTCTGTCACCCGCCACACGTCATGCTTCCGTCATGAACACGCGCGGACTTTAGTTACCTGATGGAGGCCCGTGGTTGGGAGCTGGACACGTCAAAAGGTCGAAGCGTGGAGGGGAACAACTGTCAACAACTAAACATTACATTATTGGGACTGTGGTTCCCAGAGCTGAGGGTAACATATATAGTACCTTCTGTGTGTGTGGTGTGTTGTGGCCATAGAGAAAACAAACCAACTTGCTTGTCCATTGTGCAACAATGATTGCCTTCATGGCGGTTGGCAGATTTTGTCTCTAAACTCGTTTTGGGCCAAAGCAGGGATGACTGGAAGAGAACAGGGAAGACGGGAAGGGTTCTGGAGTGGCATGGGTGCTCATATTAATTGATTGGGACTGGGTGGGGTGGGTAGGTGGGGGGGGTACCCAAGGGGAGGTGTAAGCGGGTAGCGAGGGGGGGCGGGGGGAGGAGAGGAAGGGCGCGGGAAAGGGGCGGGGGGGGGCGAAAAGGGGGGGGAGGGGGCGGAAGCGGGATAGGGCGACGGGAGTGGGGAGAGGGGGGGGGGGAGAGAAGGGGGGAGGGGGTGGAGGTAAGGGTGGGGGGAATGGGGCCGAGTGGTGGGGGGAAGGGAAGGGTCGTGATTGCTATTGGGTTGAGAAGGGGGCAAACTGGTGTGTCGTGCGAAGGGCAGGTGGGAGGGTTATCCTCCGGGTGGAGGCGGTGGGCAGCAGTCGTAACGCGGAGGGGATTGGGGGAGCGGGGGGAGGGGGGGGGCGGATGGGGGAAGTACGCTGTGGGCCGGGTGGGGGGGGACGGGGGGGGGGACGGTAGGGTGCTGCGGGGGGTGGGGGGGAGTAACGGGGAAAGAGGTGGGTGTGGAGTGGGGGGAGACGGGGTGTGTTGTAGGGGCGGAGGGGAGTGGGGGGGAGGGTGGTGTGGGGGAGCGGTAGGAAAGGGTGGAAAGGAAGGAGAAGGGGTAGGAAGAGATGAGTACCTCCCCGCCGGGGGGGGAGGGTGGGTGGGGGGGGGGAGGGAGGGGACGGGGGGAGAGGCGGGGGGCGTGGGAGGGGGGGGGAGGGGGGGGGTTAAGGGGGGGAGGGGAGGGTAGGAGGGGACGAGGACGGTCGAGGGTAGGGGGCGGGGGGGGGGGGGGGGGGAGGAAGGGGGGGGGTGAGGGGGGAACGAAGGAGTGCGGGAAGGTCGCGGAGGGGCGGGAGTGAAGGTGGAGGAAGGGGAAGAGGAAGACGGTGGGGGGGGGTAGGGGGGAGGGAGGCGGGAAGACGGGGGTTGGGGTCGTGGTTAGGACGGGGAGGGGGGGGGAGTGCGGGTAGGGGAGGGGTGAGGGTACTTGGGGGGGGGGGGGGTGGGGAGAGAGAGTGGGGGGGGGGCGGGGGGGTGGGGGTGAGAAAGGGAGAGGGGGCGCGGTGGGGGGAGGGGACGCAGTGGAAGGGGCGGGGGGAGGTAGGGGGGGGGACGGATAGAAGGGGGGAAATGGGGCTGCAGCAAAGGAGGGAGGGCGTGGCGGAGGGAACAGAAGGTGGGATGGTAATTGGGGGGCGGGAGGCTGTCGGGGTGGGGGGGGTAGGGGGGGGGGAGGGGGGTGGGGGCGGGGGGGTGAGGGGGGTGGGGCGAGAATGGGGAAGGGTGAGTGGTGTGGCGTGGGAAGGGCGTAACGAGTGGGGGGGAGGTTGGACGGGGGGCGGGGGGGGGTGTGAGAGGCGGCGGGATATGAGGCGGGGGCTAGTGGGGTAGTAGGGGGGGGTGCGGGGGTGGGTGAGGTGAAAGGGGGGGGGTGCAAAGAATGGGGAGAGAGGGAGGGGGGGGAGGGGGGGTGGGGGGGGGGGGGGGGAACGAGGAGGGGATAGAGGGGGAGGGGGGGGGAGGCCTGGTAGGGAAGGTATGTGGGGAAGGGGGGGGGGGCCGAGAGGGGGGTGGGCGGAGGGGGTGATGGCGGGGCTGGGGGGAAAGGAGAGAAATGCGGCAGGAGGGGGGGGGAGGGGGGAAGTATGGGGTGCCCTCAGGCGGGGAGGAGGGGCGAGGTTGTATTTTAAAATGCTTTTTTTGTGTTCTATTTTGTTTAGTTTTATATAATTTTGTTGTATATTTATAATTTAATTTTTGTTATTAAACCAGAGCACTTGCTGAAATTCATCACTGAGGTGCAGGGGGAAAGAACTGTATCGGCTAATATGCTGGACCCTAACAGTAAGCTGTAGCTATGTAGTTACTAGTGTTCAGCTACTTTCATTAATAGGAAGGGAGGAGCAAAGCATGCAAGAAGCCTTTATTCAACTACAAATTAGGGACCGTCTGATTAATGAACTTCAACATGAAAAACACCGCGTCCAAATAGCAATGCAGGAACAGCAACATCAGCTTTTAGAAAAGATCCGACGCATTAAGCAGAGAAGTCAAGAGCTTGAGCATGAACTAAATCAAGAGCAACAGAGCCGGCAACAAGAGCATGAAAGATACCAAAATCACCTTCAACACGAACAGCAGAACCGAAAGCAAGTTGAGAATCAGCTGGAGGAAGAAAAAGAGGTTCACCGAAATCTTGAAGTTCGCCTTCAGCGGGAACAGCAGCAAAGTGAGCATTTGTTCCAGCAAGAGCAGGAAAGATACCAAAATCTTCAACTCAACCTTGAGCAGGAACAGCAAAGCCGGCAGCAAGTTCGGGGTCAGTTGCAACAAGAGCAGGAACGGTCTCGAGGTCTTCAGCAGAGTATCCGAGATCTACAGAGCCAGCTGGACAGAGCAACAATGGAGATTCAGAACATGCAACCGGAGATTTTACTGACCAACTCCTCGTTCACTAGAGCTGAGCACTCAAGCGTCCATATTGAAGGGCCAGACCCTATTGGGGTGGGAGCATGGGGGAAGGTAGAGAGAGGGAGATTCAGAGGGAGTCTGGTGGCTGTCAAGTCCATTCACCATGCCATGCTCATACAGAGCACCATTAACAGGCTAAGAAGAGAGGTCACTATCATGGCCCAGGTCCAGCACCCTAATCTGGTTCGATTCGTGGCAGCAGTTCTGGATGGACCGGCAGAGAGACTGGAGGCTCCTGCAATGATCCTTACTGAGCTACTCGATACAAATCTTCGCAGGGCCTATGAAGAAAGGAGGGTTGCCCCTGCTCATCACTTAGGGATTCTACGAGACGTGGCTTACGGCCTCCACCATCTCCACAATCTACAGACTCCCATCATCCATCGCAACGTCAGTGCTCCAAATGTACTTCTTCAGCAACTACCAAATGCTGGCTGGCTGGCAAAGGTCTCTGACTTTGGCTCAGCCAACTTCGCAAAGCTGGCCAGAACAATGGGAGAAGGAGCTTTCATCTACACTGCTCCTGAAGCAATGCCTGCCATTGTGGCTTCGGACGCTTCCGATACTGAGCCACAAAGACTGACAACGAAAGTAGACGTGTTCAGCTACGGGAAGGTGGCCTGTGAGCTGGTTGTGGGAGAAATGCCAGTGCCAGAGAGGTTCCGAGCCATGTTGAGGGAGGTGGAGAGAGGGTGGGTGTTCATGCACGGAGTGATAGTGCACTGCACCAAGACCAATCCTCTGAAGCGGCCTTCAATGGCTGACATCCTCCATGAGCTGCCCTGCCCTGCCCCTCATAGGTAGCTAACCTTTTATAGTAGTTTTGTGTAATGAAGTTATAATGGTATAATATAGAATGCAAGCAAAAAATGCGTGTAGGGCAGCCGACTCGTTCTGTATCGTGATCCCGGGAACCTGACTGCTACTGACAAAACAGGGGAAATCCCCTTGATCATGCGGACTTGTGTTGAACTTTTATGTGGCTAGCTAGACAGCAGAGATCTCTGTCGTCGAATCCTGATCAGTTTACCTCTTGGGAAGCCGCGATCATTTAGCCAGAGGTATATACAGTCAAACGCTGATACATGCTGCTGCGCAATGCGCTATGTTTGATGTACAGGAAGATTTCCGCGAGGTCCTCAATGAGCGAGCGACCTCCTCCTCAGCAGCTTGACGCAGCAACCCCGGCCGCTGAGCCGGGGATCGCGTCTCCGGAGCCCGAGACAGACGAAACGGGGGGAGATATCCCGGCCCCGCCCCCTCAGGAAACCGGTCCACAGCGGCTCACCCCTCCTTCTCGAGCCTCCCCTGTGCAGCAGGCACAGCAGGAGGAACCAATGGACACTGACCCTCCTCACCCTCCTGCGACCAGCCAGCCTCCACCTCCTCCTAAAGAAATGGAGACGGCCTCCACGGAGGAACCAAAAACAGTGGAACCTGTATTGAATGGTACGTATGTTTGTTTCTCCATGATCATAAATGAACCTGAGGGAAGGCTTTACATTCACTTTCACTGTGACATGGAACGCGGAATATGAATTGCCCTTCCTCATTCTTTCCGTGGGAATCTAATAATCCTGTCCTCATGGGGTGGGCATTCTTCATAGAATGTTCCACATGCAGTACATGTAGTACATGATAGGCTTTTGCACTCATAATAATATTATACTTGCCAGTATTGTAGGATATGTTATCAAAGCAATGATGTTACGTGTAGTAATATAATACATAGCATGTTAGAAATAGATGGCATCGATCTGGAAAGTAAGATATCAGTATTTTGGTACACAATGGATGCATTATGAGGTATAATTTATTGGCTTGTAGTAACACCCACTTAGCATCATTGTTATCCTGTTGCTGTACAAACTTGTGCAGTTGCTGTACTTTAAAAAGGGTGCATCCATTGTTCTGTAGTTACTACAGAGAGTGTACCAAGTAGGTTTGATAAGCTCCATATAATAGCCCACCATTACCACTTATTGATATATACATACACTGAGTTCAACGTTTGTTTAGAAGTATAGAGATCTACAGTCTATGTTTGTATGGCCGTCCTCAGGTCTGCAGTTGAAGACACACTCTAAACCGCTGTTGAAGGCCTTCAGCTATGCCCTGGCTCCCGGGACGGACACCATCAACCCAGTCAAGAGGAAGGTTCTGGTGGTAGACGATGAGGGAGTCCAGGGAGACCACGTGGCCGTACACAGACTAGAGCCGTCTCAGAAACTCACCGAGGTGGTTGCCGGGCATCGCCAAAACAAGCTCACCAAGGCCGTCATTGTAGTCAACACCACAGACGGTCTGATACTTGAGCCTGCGTACCTGGAGGGGTACGAAGGGAGCAACTATCCTGTGTTGATTGTGAGTCAATCGGACGGTTGGGAATTTTGTCCCTCATGGAGCACAAGGAGGAGGATGTTCTGTGTGATATTGAGGCAGAGAGTGCAGTCGATGCAGTGCCTCACCGTCAGCCTGCATGTTATCCACCATTTGTGACTAAAGCTGAGGGGCCCAAAGAAACTAGTTCACAGGAGAGCAACAAGACTACAGGTACACTTTTAAGATGAGATTGTTGCACCACTTCTGCAATTTTTCTTGGTAGGCTTCAGAAAGCCGTTCAAAAGGACCCCAATTAAGCATGAGCTGAAGAAGCTGATGTTCACTGGACCTGGAGATACTCCAGTTCCATTGAGTGGAGATAGTGGAAATTTCTGTATGGTCATGTCCGTCTTCCACAATTACGAAAGCTCGGTGAGTAATGTCTTACAGATCTGAAAAAAGAAGGACAAACTTACGAGGGAGGTAATGTGGTAAAATACAAATGAAACATGGAAAAGTTGCATAAGCTGTTTGTCCCACTCAAAACATGCTGCAATAGTTTTGTGTATGGCTCTCGAACTACAACGTTTTTCCCCAGCCTAAATTATTAACCCTCGGCGCGCATGGGCAGCGAGGGTTACTGTAGTTGTCGTGTGTGTCTGTCCGTTACCCGACAGCTCACTTCACGAGCCATGAATCGCTCCACAAGCAATACCAGGTATTCAGCGTCGCGTATAGGTCGAAAAACATGTATGGTTTTCTCTGAAGCTGCTGCATTCGAGAGTTACGGAGAGAAACATGAGCGAAAAAGCCAATATGCTGATTAGAACAGGCTTACCTTGAGCGGGTTCGCTTTCTCTGTGTATCTTGAAGACACAAGTCAAGAAGGCACAATGAAGGGCGTGTATCGACTCCCGCATGCTATCTACTACTGTAACTAGCCCGTGTCACACTCTCCGCGAGCTACTAGCGTGGAGACCAGGAGTGAAAATAGCCCAGCCCATCAATTAGCAGTATCGCGCATGCGCTCGCCGAGGGTTTGCACTTTAGTGCTTTTCATTATTTTGTGAATGCAGGGAAAGCCAGATATAGGTCAAGTTAAAGATGCCCTGCAGATGATCAACAAGCATGTTGAACCTATATTCTATGATGACTTTCCTTTCTACCTCATACTAGCATACAGGATCCATATGTGAGTGATCCATTGGCATATCCATGAACTACTGGTTATGTAGTAAAGTTGCAGGCGGATGAGCATGTACCAGTGTGATGAAAAGCAGCATTTCATAATGTCTTGCATCAACATGATGGAGAATGGTTCACATCGTGACGTTTCCAAAACTCTACTTAAATTTCTAAGGTATACACTAACTTTATATTAAACTTTGAATGTAATCCCCCTTTTCTCAGAAAACCAGATTTCGCCATAATGTTTGATGACAGCAAGGCCAATATGGGTGTCTTTGTACTTCTTGAGCTGGCCTGCATTGATTTGTGCGAGGTTTCCTTTACAAACCGTCAGAACCATCACACTCAGAAGAAGCCACCTTTACTCTATGATAGATTTATTTACAACACAATGGTTTGGGGTATGTACATATTTTTACTGGTTTTGCACTTACTATGAAACCATGATACCCACAGTATCGTTGTCTCTGAAAGTGAGGTCCCAAAGAGGAGCTGTGACCAGGAACGCTCCCAAGCAATGGGAGGACCATCTCACCAGTAGAAGTCACCATATTACGTTAAACCAAGCACAGATCGACGGCCTAAAGATTGGGCTGAAGTTCGGGAAAGCAATCGAGCTTCCATCAGACCTTAGATTCAATGCTGATCTGATGTGCGATATGGTTGTTCCACGTGACCGATTCACCATCACAGTGCGATATTTCACACACCTCACGTAGGTTCATGCATAATTGATCACATGAATATCCTCTACTCTGCCTTCCTCCATAAAGGTATTTCTTCAAAGAGATGCACAGCAACCTGAGTTCTGCTGGCACGGTGGTCATTCTGACCTACCTGAGAGGAGTGTGTGATCAGTGCCTTGGACCAGGGAATACTGTTAACTACAGTCGTTTCAGCCCAACTGGTACTCTGGCTGGCACTCTGACGGAGGTGGGTATATATACCGTAACACATACGAATGTAAAACTGGGCAGAGAGCCATCTTACACGAAAAATGTGTGGATTAGGGGTCCGATTGAAGGAATGTGGCAGTATAATAATTATAAAAGGCTACATTTACCTCTAAAGTTGGAACTAAACTATAGGACCCAGTGCCATTTTTCGATTTACCATTACCTTAAAGCTACGTATATATCAACATCTTCTAATATCATTTCGGAGTTCTCACTCTTGTGTTTACTGCTGCACTCTTATGTAATCTGTGGCAATGATATCATCCACAGGGCCTAGAGTTCCTGAACCAAGTATCGGGGAGCTGGGCTCATCGTAAGGTCGACCTGAATGCTCAGATAAAGGCCGAGCTCTCGAAGTGGCTGCAGCTTCTCTTGCAGCTGATCGACGTGACTGGAGATCAGGCCCACACTCACCTGAGACAGTTTGTCAAGGGAAAAGGAGTTGTGAAGGACTTTCAGAAGGAAATCAAGCACACCGTGAGCTGGCACCATAGCCTATTCCGAACCAACATGTTTTACGTTATACTATGGTTTTTACAGGTGGTTTCTACCACTAAACAAAACTTTTCTCGATTGCCCATCCAACAATTTTTCCTGCTGTATACTGCTTTCATGATATGGCCTTCCACCTTCCTGGAGGACTATCTCAAACAGTACAAGGTGCCCGAAGGTGTCAAAATTTATGACGGAATGTGGGCCGAGTTCTTTGGGGGAATTTCAGAGAGGTGCAACACCAAACAGCTCACACTTTCAGAAAATGAGGGGGGGGCTTCACAAACACATAGACCAAGGCTCATCCATACACAGGGACTAGCTCTACATGTGTGAACTGGCGCAAAATGATAGGTACAATGAACATGGTATCAATGAACTGTGAATACGATTAAGGGGTTGTGCAATTGCGTCTGAATATTTAATAAGTACTATTCATTTGTATGTGCCATACAATTTCTATCTGTAGATTCTCAGGAGCCCACTCTCACTACTTCATCAATGACTTTCTTCAGTCGGTGGCAAAGAGGTACGAGGAGAGTAAAAGATCCAGGGATTTCGTCCTTGATCTGCTGAAACTGCACGTGCCGACACTTCTTGTCATTGAGTATGGAGAAGGAGAGGATACAGTGAAGGAAGGAGAGAAGGTTCAAAAGGACTTCAAACAGTTTCTCCACAATTTCGTGCTGAGAAATGCGCTGAAACAATCGCTTCTCAAAGAAATGAGTGTCATAATGGTAAGACAGGAGATGACTAAAGGCGCAGTGAGGGCCCTCGGCGCGCATGCGCAGCGAGGGTGGACTGCAGACTAGGGGAGCTGCGTACAAGCGATACCAAAACGGCGAAAGCACTGAAGTGCAAACCCTCTGCGAACTGCGCGTGCGCGGTATTGCTAAAATGATGGGCTGGGCTACGTTTACTCGTGGTCTCCCGCTAGTAGCTCGCGGAGAGTCTGACACGGGCTAGCTACAGTAGTAGATAGCATCCGGGAGTCGATACACGCCCTTCTTTGTGCATTCAAAGCAAGCGGACCCGATCGATGTAAGCCTGTGCTAATTAGCATATTGGCTTGTTCACATGGCCATAACTTTAGAACGCCGTAGTTTTATGAAAATCGCCTTTTTTTAAATCAAGCCAGTGTAGCGCTGAACCCCGTTACTATCGCTCTTTGGCCAGTTTCTTGCGCGTGGTGGCAGAAAACGTGGTGACAGACAGACGACAACTTACGACCGTAACACTCGCTGCGCATGCGCGCTGAGGGTTAATAAAAGGTGATTGTCCTGAAATGGCTGCATTCAAGAGCTGGCTTACCTCGACTGGGTTTAGCCTGTTCAGCACACTGTTGCAGGATGAAGTTACTCGGAGTGTGTGTATTCATTTCGGCGTTGCTCTAGTTAGCCTGTGTTAGAGTGAGAAGCAGGCGGAGCGAAAGGTTCCTCACAACTAGCCCACCAGCGTACCTAATTACGCCCACCAAGACGACTACATAGGGTAGTTGTCGTGTGTGTCTGTCTGTCTGTTTGACATCTCAAAAGCCATCGATCGCTCCACAAACAATACCACGTATTCAGCCTAAAAAGGGCAAAAAATTCGGGGAAAATAATTTTTTGCTTGTCCTTCCACTAAAGTTTTACAAAATTTAATAATCAGGGACCCAGTTGGAGCCAAGACATTGGGAATAATAAAATGCAACACTTACTCAAGAGTTGGGGGAGAGCTATCTGTAGTACTCATCTCTCGCCGCAGGACTCCATCACAGCAGAGAAAAGACGAGTTCCAAGCTTGGTCCTGGATGTGCTCAAGAAGGAGGTGGTCCACCTTACGCCGTAACCCTCGCGCGCATGCTCGCTGAGGGTTAATAAAAGGGATTGTCCTGAATGGCTGCATTCAAGAGCTGGCTTACCTCGACTGGGTTTAGCCTGTTCAGCACACTGTTGCAGGATGAAGTTACTCGGAGTGTGTGTATTCATTTCGGCGTTGCTCTAGTTAGCCTGTGTTAGAGTGAGAAGCAGGCGGAGCGAAAGGTTCCTCACAACTAGCCCACCAGCGTACCTAATTACGCCCACCAAGACGACTACATAGGGGTAGTTGTCGTGTGTGTCTGTCTGTCTGTTTGACATCTCAAAGCCATCGATCGCTCCACAAACAATACCACGTATTCAGCCTAAAAAGGGCAAAAAATTCGGGGAAAATAATTTTTTGCTTTCCTTCCACTAAAGTTTTACAAAATTTAATAATCAGGGACCCAGTTGGAGCCAAGACATTGGGAATAATAAAATGCAACACTTACTCAAGAGTTGGGGGAGAGCTATCTGTAGTACTCATCTCTCGCCGCAGGACTCCATCACAGCAGAGAAAGACGAGTTCCAAGGCTTGGTCCTGGATGTGCTCAAGAAGGAGGTGGTCCCAGAGTTCAAAGTCCTCCGGGGGAAGGAGTCCCTACCCCATGCTACCATAAAGACCATTGTTACAGAGCTCTGTCGGAACCTAGAATGGCAAACAGTTGTTTCTCCTAAACAGAGTTTCTGCTGGGGTATCGTGGCCAGCTGTTGCTGCAAGGTTCCTGTGAGGAGCGAGAGTCTGGAGTGGGTCCAGGACTATGACTACCTCATCAAACAACTCTGCCACATCTACAAGGCTTACTGCACTGGTCAGGGGATGCGGGGTGAGGAGGACAGGAGACTCAAGGAAGAACTCCCGAAAGAAGTCCAACATGATGACGATATCAAAACGTAAGCCTTTTCCATGTGTATACTTGTGTATTAGTATAATTATTCTACTCTTTTCTAACTGAAATGTTTTTGTGTAGGTACTTTGAGTGGGTTCTGCAGGTGCAGACAGTGGTGTTCGCCTGGCATTACAGAGTCAGTGGAAGAGAGTTGAACTATGATGAAATCTTGTTATATGCCAGTGTGCAGAAGGAAATACAGTCACTTAGTGATGCCATTAGTGCCTCCTCCAGCATCCTTGAGCCTTATATCCTTCAGCAACAGAAGAACGCTTTCCTTGAGTATTTTGAGCACCTCCACATAATGCTGTTAAGATATATACCTGGCAAACAAGAGGTCGGGTGGTGCACTCTCTCCTCGCTTCTCGCGGAGAATGGCGTGTCCTTTCCACCTGAGGTGGCTGAAGCCATCAACAAGTACGTGGTGATTCCCGGAGAGCCAAAAGAAGTGGAGGGAGGATTGCTCGAGTATGAAATGCGATCGGATACAATGGGACGGTTTATACCGGGCCAACCCGTGTCTCTCAAGCTGTCCAAAAGACTGGGACTAAAGCAGTTAACGAAGCTTGTTTTTGACCTTCAGGGCTTTCTGGAGCCAATCCTCAATCAAATGGAAATGCTAGTCTTCTTCAAGCTACACAATAGTGTCATGTTCGAGGAATACCAGAAGCTTTTCCTGGACAAGGAGGTGAAGGAGCTAGAGAGAAAGCTTCGTCCTCCCATGCCTTCCATCACATCCACATTTGGCAACTTTCCATCCGTGAGCCTCCGGCATCCAGAGGAAGAAGAAGAACCAAAGGTAAAGATGAGTCTCCCCATTCTGGTGAAGTCTCTGGACCGGACCAATGAGCTCCTCATCAAGCTAATCGAGGGGAACGCAACCTACAACGAGATAATAGCCGAAGGTAGGCTAGACCTTGAGAACCTTGACATCGATCGAGAGTTTGAGATTCTTGCCGACTTCATACTCTACCTGAAGCACACGCTCAAGACGGAAGTTGGACTAGAAGGGGTACGGTGTATGCTGGAGCTTTTCCAGTACCAGAGACACATCATAAAGGTACGTGACGTCTGTGAGCAGTACAAGCTGAAGGGCTGCCTGGGAGACAAGAATCTGCGGGATTTAGTTGAGCTCGCTGAGGATTTGGGCCCAGAGAAAAGCAGGCGAGAGCTTACGCTCAACGAAGCCACCAGGAGAATGAATCAAGTGAAACAACTTCTCTTTGACGGTGAAAGGGCTGGGAGCCACTGCCTAAAGCTTTTCGATGCAGTCGCCGACAGTGCGGCGTTTTACCAGTTCATCAAGGACAAGCGATTCAGTGGAGCCCAGGGCCAGGCAGTGTTCACTCAGAAATACCAGCTTATCACAGCGCAGCTCCAGCATGAAGAATACAACGAGCAAGTTCTGAACCACCTGTTCACCGCCTACAAGTTCATGCTTCCGTTCATGAACACCGCGCAGGACTTTAGTACCCTGATGGAGGCCGTGGTTGGACTGGACACGTCAAAAGGTCTGAAGCAGTTGGAAACTGTCAACACTAACATTACACTTATTCGACTGTGGTTCTCCAGAGCTGAGGTACATATATAGTACCTTCTGTGTGTGTGTGTGTTGTGGCATAGAGACAACACACCAACTTGCTTGTCCATTGTGCACAATGATTGCCTTTCATGGCTGTCTGTCAGATTTGTCTCTAAACTCGTTTTGTCCCAAAGCAGATACTGGAAGAGAACAGGGGAGTGAAGGGTTCTGGAGTGGATGCTAAGCCAGAGAACTTGCTGAAATTCGCTGCTGAGGTGCAGGGAAAAGGAACTGCCTCAGGTGGTATGCTGGACTCTAATAGTAAGCTGTAGCTATGTAGTTACTAGTGTTCAGCTATAATAGCTTTCATTAATAGGAAGGGAGGAGCAAAGCATGCAAGAAGCCTTTATTCAACTACAAATTAGGGACCGTCTGATTAATGAACTTCAACATGAAAAACACCGCCTCCAAATAGCAATGCAGGAACAGCAACATCAGCTTTTAGAAAGGATCAGACACATTCAGCAGAGAAGTCAAGAGCTTGAGCATGAACTACATCAAGAGCAACAGAGCCGGCAACAAGAGCATGAAAGATACCAAAATCACCTTCAACACGAACAGCAGAACCGAAAGCAAGTTGAGAATCAGCTGGAGGAAGAACAGGAAAGTCACCTAAATATTCAAGCTCGCCTTGAGCAGGAACAGCAACAAAGCGAGCATTTGCTCCAGCAAGAGCAGGACAAAAACAAAAATCTTCAACTCAACCTTGAGCAGGAACAGCAAAGCCGGCAGCAAGTTCAGGGTCTGTTGCAACAAGAGCAGGAATGGTCTCAAGGCCTTCAGCAGAGTATCCGAGATCTGCAGAGCCAGCTAGACAGAGCAACAATTCAGAACATGCAACCGGAGATTTTACTGACCAACTCCTCGTTCACTAGAGCTGAGCGCTCAAGCGTCCATATTGAAGGGCCAGACCCTATTGGGGAAGGAGCATGGGGGAAGGTAGAGAGAGGGAGATTCAGAGGGAGTCTGGTGGCTGTCAAGTCCATTCACCACACCATTCTTATGCACAGCACCATTGACAGGCTAAGAAGAGAGGTCACTATCATGGCCCAGGTCCAACACCCTAATCTGGTTCGATTCATGGCAGCAGTTCTGGATGGACCGGCGGAGAGACTGGAGGCTCCTGCAATGATCCTTACCGAGCTACTCGATACAAATCTTCGCAGGGCCTATGAAGAAAGGAGGGTTTGCCCCTGCTCATTACTTAGGGATTCTACGAGACGTGGCCTACGGCCTCCACCATCTCCACAAAATACAGACTCCCATCATCCATCGCGACGTCAGTGCTCCAAATGTACTTCTTCAGCAACTACCAAATGGTGGCTGGCTGGCAAAGGTCTCTGACTTCGGCTCAGCCAACTTCGCAAAGCTGGCCAGAACAATGGGAGAAGGAGCTTTCATCTACACTGCTCCTGAAGCAATGCCTGCCGTTGTGGCTTCGGACGCTTCCGATACTGAGCCACAAAGACTGACAACGAAAGTAGACGTGTTCAGCTACGGGAAGGTGGCCTGTGAGCTGTTTGTGGGAGAAATGCCAGTACCAGAGAGGTTCCGAGCCATGTTGCGGGAGGTGGAGAGAAGGTGGGTTTTCATGCACGGAGTGATAGTGCGCTGCACCAAGGCCAATCCTCTGGAGCGGCCTTCAATGGCTGACATACTCCATGAGCTGCCCTGCCCTGCCCCTCATAGGTAGCTAACATTTTATAGTAGTGTTGTGTGATTATTAATGAAGTTTTAATGAAGTTTTATAATGGGACCTTTTTTACGATTATGCAGCATATTACGCGCACGCGCTAATTTTGCTCGCGTGGGTGGAGAGCAGCGACTCGTATCGTGATCGCGGGAACCTGACTGCAACTAACAAAACAGGGGGAAATCCCCTTGATCATGCGGACTTGTATTGAACTTTTATGTGGCAAGCTGACTAGATAGCAGAGATCTCTGTCGTCGAATCCTGATCAGTTTACCTCTTGGGAAGCCGCGATCATTTAGCCAGAGGTATATACAGTCAAGCGCTGATACAATGCGGCATAGCTAGCTATGTTTGATGTGCAGGAAGATTTCCGAGGTCCTCAATGAGCGAGCGACCTCCTCCTCAGCAGCCTGACGCAGCAACCCCGGCCACTGAGCCGGGGATCGCGTCTCCGGTGCCAAAGACAGACGAAGATGTCCCGGCCCCGCCCCCTCAGGAAACCCGTCCACAGCGGCTCACCCCTCCTTCTCGAGCCTCCCCTGTGCAGCAGGCACAGCAGGAGGAACCAATGGACACTGACCCTCCTCACCCTCCTGCGACCAGCCAGCCTCCACCTCCTCCTAAAGAAATGGAGACGGCTTTCACAGAGGAGCCTAAGACAGTGGAACCTGTGCTGAATGGTACGTATGTACATACGTAGGTTTGTTTCTCGATTTGCTGTCTGATGAAAGAGAGCATTGTCAGGCCTTGAATGAAGGCTCTAAATCAATGCGGTAGAAATGGTATCTCAGCATCTGAAAATGGGGTTTACATTCACACGTACTGTTGTGTCATGGAATGCAATATGAATTGCCCTTCCTCATTCTTTCTCTTGGGAATATCATGAATCTAATAATCTACATATTCCTCAGGGGCCTGTTGTACTATGTATGACATAAGTGTGTATATATTATATGTAAACTATTGAGGAAGTTTTTTGGCAATGGCCCATTCTACACACCATTCATTGAATGTTCCACACACAGTACGTGATTTGCTTGTGGACTATTGTACAGTATTTAACCCATGTATGTGTGTGTATCAAAGCAGTGGTGTAGTACATATTTTGTTTGTAGTAGCATGTGGATGCAGGTCAATCTGGAAAGTATGATATCAATGCACGACCGTACAAACTATATATGATGCAAACTCCATATGTACATATGTATATAATCCACCATTACCGCTTATGGCCTCATTTCAAAATCCACATAAAAGTATGAAGCACAGGTTTATGATCTACAGCAATCTTCATCTATGTTTGTGTGGCCGTCCTCAGGTCTGCAGTTGAAGACACACTCTAAACCGCTGTTGAAGGCGTTCAGCTATGCCCTGGCTCCCGGGACGGACACCATCAACCCAGTCAAGAGGAAGGTTCTGGTGGTAGACGACGAGGGAGTCCAGGGAGACCACGTGGCCGTACACAGACTGGAGCCGTCTCAGAAACTCACCGAGGTGGTTGCCGGGCATCGCCAAAACAAGCTCACCAAGGCCGTCATCGTAGTCAACACCACAGACGGTCTGATACTGGGGCCTGCGTACCTGGAGGGGTACGAGGGGAGCAACTATCCCGTGTTGATTGTGAGTCAATCAGACGGTCGGGAAATGTTGTCGTTCGTGGAGCAAGAGGAGGAAGATGTTCTGTGTGATATTGAGGCAGAGAGTGCAGTCGATGCGGTGCCTCATCGTCAGGGCCACTCGGCAGTTATCACTCAGCAGCCCAGGGCTGGGGCAGCCAAGGGAACTGCCCCACCCCCACATGAGAGTAGAGCCACAGGTGAGCAGTAAACCAACTTCAAGGGGGAGAAATCCTACAAGTTTGTACAAGTTGCAGTTAGCTACTACGTATGTCTTGGCATGGTAGTTTTTGCTTGCAGGGATCAAGGCTCTGTTCAAAGGTAGTGGCATCAAGCATGAGCTGAAGAAGCTTATGTTCACTGGATCTGGAGATACTCCAGTTTCATTGAGTGGAGATAGTGGAAAGTTCTGTATGGTCATGTCCGTCTTCCACAATTACGAACGCACAGTGAGCCGTGTATATTTATGTATAAACATTATAATATAGCTCTGTAAGTACCACAAGTACCATTAAATTTTCATCGCTCATAATTTTTCACGCAGCAGAACTTTATTATGTCCTACAGGTCGCCCATCTGAAGGTTGATAAAACCTGTATTTGAATATTATTCACCTCGAGAATCTGGCTCTATACTCCATTTTTTGGTATGTGAATGTAGGGAAAGCCAGATATAGGTCAAGTCAAGGATGCTCTGGGGAAGATCAACAAGCACCTGGAACCTCCTATATTTTATGATGACTTTCCTTTCTACATCATTCTAGCATACAGAATGCATATGTGAGTGTGTGCCTATTGATGCATATCCATGACTAGATATAATTGCAGGCGGATGAGCATGTACCAATGTGATGAAAGCCAGCATTTAATAATGGTCTGTATCAACATAATGGAGAATGGTTCACATCGTGACATTTCTACTACCCTCCTTAAATTTCTAAGGTGCGCATATACAATCTTGTCAGGTTGCACAACTTTTCAACGTTTGCCTTTTGAAATGCTTTGCAGTGCATCAGATTTCACAATAATGTTCGATGACAAAAAAGGTGATATGGCTGTCTTCTTACTTCTTGAACTGGCCTGCATTGAACTGTGCAAGATTTCCTTTGCAAGACGCCAGAGCATTCACACTCAGAAGAAACAACCCCCAAACATACTTCACGAGAGATTCATTTATAACACAATGGTTTGGGGTACGTATGTATATGTTTGTTGCAGTATTCTGTTTTTTGTGACTAGTCTCATCTTATCTGCAGTGTCGTTGTCTCTGAAAGTGAGGTCCCGCAGAGGAGTTGTGACCAGGAGCACTCCCAAGCAATGGAAGGACTATCTCACCAGTAGAAGTCACCTTATTACGTTAAACCAAGCACAGATCGATGGCCTAAAGATTGGGGTGAAGTTCGGGAAAGCAATCGAGCTTCCATCGGACCTTAGACTCAATGCTGATCTGATGTGTGATATGCTTGTTCCACGAGACCCATCCACCGTCACTGTGCGATACTTCACACACCTCACGTGGGTTCATGCATAGTTGATCACATAATATGTTGGATATGCTTTACTCTGCCTTCCTCCATAAAGGTATTTCTTCAAAGAGATGCACAGCAACCTGAGCTCTACTGACACAGTGGTCATTCTGACCTACCTGAGAGGAGTGTATGACCAGTGCCTTGTACCACGGAATACTGTTAACTACAGTCGTTTCAGCCCAACTGGTACTCTGGCTGGCACTCTGACGGAGGTGGGTATATATTATACCGTAACACATATGAATGTAAAACTGGGCAGAGAGCCATGTTACACATTTTTTCAATAAATGATAGTACGTTATATATAGCTAGTATAGTGATGCAAGGCTAAAGTCTATAATTAAATAAAAATTAAAAATAAAAATAGTTTGGATTAGGGGTCCGATTAAAGGAATGTGGCAGTATAATATAAAAGGCTACATTTACCTATAAAGCTGGAACTAAACTCTAGAGCCCAGTGCCGTTTTTCAATTTCCTCAACAGCTTAAAGCTACGAACATCTTCTAATATAATCTGGAGTTCTCACTCTTGTGTTTACTGCTGCATTCTTAGTTTTGTGTATGTAATCTGTGCCAATGAAACTATCATCCACAGGGCTTAGAGTTCCTGAACCAAGTATCAGGGAGCTGGGCTCTTCGTAAGGTCACCGACGATGACCTGAATACTCAGATAAAGGCCGAGCTCTCGAAGTGGCTGCAGCTTCTCTTGCAGCTGATCGACGTGACTGGAGATCAGGCCCACACTCACCTGAGACAGTTTGTCAAGGGAAAAGGAGTTGTGAAGGACTTTCAGAAGGAAGTCAAGCACACCGTGAGCTGGCACAATAGCCTATTCTGAACCAACATGCTTTACGCTATACTATGGTTTTTACAGGTGGTTTCTACAACCAAAGAAAACTTTTCTCGATTGCCCATCCAACAATTTTTCCCGCTGTATACTGCCTTCATGATATGGCCTTCCACCTTCCTGGAGGACTATCTTAGACAGTATGAGGTGCCCGAAGGTGTCAAAATTTCTGACGGAACGTGGGTTGAGTTTTTTCGGGGAATTTCAGAGAGGTATATTATACGTACTTATTATCAATTTAACTGCACATCTTTTCACACACCCCATATAGACATGTATATGTAATATGCCACTAAGCCATAGCCTGAACTGATTAGTCTAAAACGATGTACCTAGCCATGCATTTCCAATAATAGTCTGTGCCACTCGCAATGAAAGTGTGTTCTTCGCTTGTATCACGACCAGATTCTCAGGAGCCCACTCTCACTACTTCATCCATGACTTTCTTCAGTCGGTGGCAAAGAGGTACGAGGAGAGTAAAAGATCCAGGGATTTCGTCCTTGATCTGCTGAAACTGCACGTGCCGACACTTCTTGTCATTGAGTATGGAGAAGGAGAGGATACAGTGAAGGAAGGAGAGAAGGTTCAGAAGGACTTCAAACAGTTTCTCCACAATTTCGTGCGGAGAAATGCCCTGAAACAATCGCTTCTCAAAGAAATGAGTGTCATAATGGTAAGGATGGTGCATATAAAAAACATTTTTACGTGGAAAATTTAACATTTTTGTGTTTGGTTGCCCATCCTACTATATTGAGGGTTATTTATTAAGGAACAAACTCCTTGTCTATTTTGGGACTTACACTTGACAGCCACAAAGAGTATTTAATGCTCAGTGGTAGCTACGCACGACCATATTTGGTGTGGAAATTTTGCGTACATACGGATAGTTTACACTGAAAAAATAGGATACTCCACTATTTTGAAAACCAAATAACCAAGAGAAACAACTACCATAGAGCCATAAGTACACATGTGCGTCCCTAATCCAGATGTATGTCATTGTATGTATCCGACAGGACTCCATCACAGCAGAGAGAGACGAGTTCCAAGGCCTGGTCCTGGATGTGCTCAAGAAGGAGGTGATCCC